ACCCCCATCCAGAGGGCGAAGATACTTAATTATCTGAAACCCAGACAAACAGCAGGACCAGGATTGTGCAGGAGAGCTGAGGTGGGAACCGGGGGCTGCGGGAGGAGAGATGAAAGCTGAGGGTGCGACTCAGTGCCCGAACGGGGGTGAGAGAAGGAGTTGGAGGATGTTGACAGCCTCCATAGGACAGGGTGGGAGAGGCACGGAGATGGGGTCAGTGGCCGGGGGGAGCCGGAAGCGTGCGGCGTGCAAGGTCAAGGGCAGAACAGAGCAGCATCTGAGCTTTATCTCCCGTGCATCTGCCCCCCCGTTAGAGAGGCGGTTTCACGATACTGAGGCGTTTACTGACTCATTCAAAGGAAGCTCATAAAATTGCCAAACTGCAAGAGGGAGATTGCTACACCCCATTTAGCGATTTGGAACCCAGAGGACAAGCTGAGGGAGGACAGTGAGAGAAGACGCACTGGGTGTGCGGAGTAGGGACTCGTGCCCTCCTGTGAACCTGGCCTCGTGGGCCTTATTCGGGGGGAGCAGGTGTGCTGGGAGCCGCTCCCCATTCGCCCTTCCATTAGTAAGCGCTTTTTGTGGGTTATGCGAGAATGTGTGTGGAGGGCTTACCGCAGGCTGGGCCCACAGTAACGACTCAATAAACGTTGACTGTTGTGGTCCCTGAGACCCCTCTTAGGAATAGGGTGCGACAGCGACCTCCCAGCAGGCTGACTTGGCAAACCTTGACTGTCTGAGTTGGAGCTCGTCATTTCAGACTCCACATAAATCGCTGATCTCCAGAGAAAGAGTACAGAAAAGTCCAAAGCCTGACTCAGTCGAATCCTTCCCACTTCCACCGCACTCAATTCAAGATGGCGGCACAAGACAAAACACAACGCGGGATTGTGGGATGGTGGGCATCCGACCAGGAGTTTGCCTTTGCGTTCTAGAAGAGCTGGGCAAAGAGAAAAGGGGTCCTTGTGTTGGGAATAAAGATGATAGTCCAGCTTAGGGCTAAGGGCTCTGGCTCTGAGACGGGCACCTTGGGTTCAAATCCTGGTTCCACCTCATGCTAGCTGGTGACCTTGAACAGGTTATTTCACAACTCTAATCTCAAGTCTCCTCATCCTTAAAATAAAAGGAATAGAACCCAACCCGTCAGAGTTCTTGTGAGGGTTCCATAAGCTAAAATAAGTGAATGAATGCTCACAACGTGTGTAGCGTGTATGTGGCCTATCAGAATCTTTGGCAAATAGCAGTTCTTACATACTCTGTCAAGTCACAACCAAGGACGTGGGAGAGCCAGGATGACGCCTGAGCCCACTTCTCATGAGTTCATGCTAGTCCCCCGGGAGTAGGTAACTCCATCTCTTCTATTTCCTCAGCGTCCCGGCCAGAGGAGAGGGAGAACCAGCAGAGGCCGTGAGCCCCTGGGTCAGAGCAAGACAGAGTGCACAAGAAAAGGGAAACCCACAAAAGGCTAACGTGAGTAACGCGCGTGCGGGGGCAGCAGTCATTGGACCGGTTCTTAAGAGTCAACACGGCAGGAGACCGCAGAAGTCAGATGGTGACCTCGGCCATGACACACGGTCTGACTCAGTCTCCACAGGGGCCGATGGATGTTAACTTGATTACTGCAGAGCAGGTGTGACAAAACCAATCTCAGCCTCCTCACTGGGACTGTCTCAGCCAAGGGCGGTCACATTCTGTCACCCGGAGCTTCCTCACCTGAGACGGAAATGCTTAGTATGGTCTGAAATTCTATTTCTCTCTTACCCTGTGCCGAGGGGTCTCATGCGCGCGCGCGCGCGCGCGCGCGTGTGTGTGTGTGTGTGTTTGTGCATGTGCGTGTGTGAAGGGAAGTTGTTGGCGTAAGGATAGCATGTGAAAGAATAATTTATTGCACATTCAACAAATATTAATTGGCCTAGGAAGTGCCAGGCACAGTTCAAGAGTGAAGAAGATGCATAAAATCCGGGCCCTCAGGGCGCTTACGTTCTTTAAGGAATTGTCTTGGTAGATGTATTCAGAGCTTCCCTCACGCTTTCTCTCCCTCCTTCCCTCCTTCCTTCCTTCCTTTCCCCTTCCTTTCCTTCCTTCCTTCCCTCAGTCACTTGCTTAATAAGTACTCTGGATTTAAACTGCATCTGAGCTTCCATTTATTAGCTAATAAACCGACGGCGAATTTCTTAGCCTCTGATTCCCTCTCCTCTAAAATGGAGACAAGAACAGGCTCCATATGCACCAGAGGCCCTACAAGTCTGTAAGGGCCTGGCTCTGAGAAATGGCTGGGAGACTGAATTTAAGAATGATCTACATGCGGCCTGTCAGCCTGGGAGACCATGGATGATGGATGAGGCCTTTGTCCAGGTCTGAGTGGGCCGTGATCTCTACTCTGTCCATCCCAGCGTCCATCCCACACCTCTGAGACTGACGAGCTGGTGCACCTCCCGGCAAAGCTCCACACTGTGCGTGGCTGGGCCTGGGGGAGCCGTCAGCATCCTCCACTGCTGTCTGAGGGCTGCTAGCAAGACTCAGGAGGCCCAGAAGCTGGCCCCTCCCCTGGGGAATGTCACTGAGCCCCACTCCGTGTCCTGACTACACGGACATCCTTCTGTATACTTGAGATAATTTGATTTAAACAAGCGTCTGCTGTTGACATTTGTCCCTAAGTGGTCAGACTCACGGGCTGATGGGGAAATTCAGGGAGGCCACAAGTCAAGAGCTCGGGGCAGTGCGTGGCCCAGAGCTAGAGCTTATATGTTAGCTATTCTTGTCACTGAGCACTTGCCATGTGCCAGGCATGTGCCAGATGCCGGGGATAACATGTACATCTGTGTGTGTGTGCATGTCCTCACACGCATTTGCATGCATGCGTGCGCACACACACATGATGCAAAGGTCAGTAAATCCGAAGGGACAGCCACAGTTCCCGTAGCAGCAAAAGCAACCTCTGGCCCCTTCTGAGGACTGCTGGCTGAACGGAGCTCTTCAGTATTTTAAAGCAGAACTCACGTTCTCGATTTCCTTCCTTTTAAAACAGGGGGAGGGTATTATAAATGCCAGTGATGTGTTTTTAACATTAGAAACAAACCATAGGTAAGAACAGAAGCTTACTTATGGTTTTAAAACTGATTAGAAACAATATACTTTTTGAGAACAGTAAAAATTGGAACTATAAAAATAGAAGCAAGATGCGCAAGCAAGACCCTGGAAATAATTGAATCATCTTTTATATGGTGGAGTTAGTGTATCTTGACTAAAGGTTACATATTAAGAAAAAGAAGAAGAATCATAAAACTATCCACCGGAATGAATAAAAACCAATGCTATTAGCATAGGTCACATCTATGAATTGGGATTAAAGATAGACTGTAGGAAGAAAGACAATTTTCATGTATACGGTATGTACTATTTATAGAGCATGATGATCCCCAACCCTTTTGTGGCCACTGAACTCTGGGTTATTCCATATTTTTTCCCTGAAAGTTTGAGAGCTGGCTTTCTGCTTTACCCCGACTCCATCCACAAGGAGGAGTAGCGTTGCCTGGATCCCATACTTGGACCGTCGCTGTTTTTGTCTCCTTGTCTATGTGGGGAGACGGTACCCACCCTTTGAATGCGGTAACTGCCTACACGCGGGCGAGCCCCAAGTCTGCGTGTTTAGTTCGTTGGTTTCCCCCACGCTTCTGACGCAGACGCACAACTTCCTGCAGCCCCCCTCTACCTGGGTAACCCACAGGCAACTCAAAACCGTCATGTCCGGTCCTGGCTGTTTCAGTTGTTGGAGTCACCCGACCTAACAGAACACGTGGTCTTAGTTGACACGTCCCCCACACAACCAATCCTTCATCACTTTCTTTAGAGAAACAAAAAATAAAACAAAAACCATGGGGAGTGAGGGATGGGTTGTGAACCCTCATGATGTGTTGGTTCAGCTTATTCCCAGAGGAAAGGGAGGATGCTTCCGATCCATAAAGGCGGAATGTTCTAGAACCTTCCTCTAAGGGCTCCTGGGAGGAGGGTTCATGCACGTGCATTTAGCAGAGGGTCTGGGACACACAAAGAGCTGAATCAGTGGCAGCTGCTGAAACTGCAGTCCATTTCGTGGGGCGAGAGAGAAGGTTACATAACGTAGTAGTGAGAATATGGGTTTCGAAGGCAGGAAGACCTGGGTCTGAATCCTAACTCCCTTATTCATTAGCTGGGAGGCCCTGAGCAGGTTGGTTCACTTCTCTGAGCCTCAGTCCCCTCATCTGTGAGATGGGATAATCCCATAACCAGCCTCCTGGAGCTGAGAGAAATGAGTGACAGGGGGTTGGTTTACGCCTGGAGGGCGTGAAGTTGCTGTTTCTTCGGGGGGAGGTTGGGTGGGGAGCTGACACGCAGTGTAGGGAGCCTTCCAGAAAGGTTGCCTCATAACCCTCTGCTTTTGCTTTTTTTTTTTTTGCTTTTAGACTCTCCCTGTGTATCTGCCAGAGCCCAATTTTTAAAATTACGGTTTCTCTTGACAGACTACCTGTAATCTCTCAGGAATGCTGTGCTCTACAGACAGTGGATGTTCAAATCGTGTGACTCTGAGCCTGCTAATGACCCCAGGAGAGAAGTGTTATTATTTTCCCCCTTTTTACAAAGGAGGGAACTGAAGCTCAGAGAAGCTAAGTCACCTGCCCAAGCTCGCCCAGCTGTTTTTGATCTCAGGCCTGTCCAGGTCTCCATCTCACTCTCTCTTGTCCCTTTCCTCTTCTCCAACAGGTAACGTAGAAAGACCTTGCGCTTTGGGGTCAGACTGGCCTGAATTCAATCCTAATCAGTGTCTTGTTTAAAACGGGAGGTTACCATACCTGCTTCTCTAGGCGGTAGTGAGAATCAAATGAGATTTTTAAAAAAATGTACATAGCGCCTTTATCCCAGGGCCTGGCCCACAGTAAAGAACAGTAAACATGAGGTTGTCCGGGCATCCTCCCCACCAAGCTCCTTCCTTTTCCCAGCCCCATCCGCGAAGCACTCACATAAACCTGAGCTCAGACTCCCGGCGGACCAAGACTTCCCGGAGACGCTGAATTTTTGCCATCTCCAGCTCGATCTCCTCCGGCATCATGGTTGTCTCTGCCATGGAGATGATGTCCAGCTGATCTGTGCAGGAGACACGAAACACGGGCATCAAGACCCCGAGGCTGCACAGGTTTTCAAGAATTCCCCGGGGGACAGCCCCTGTCCCGGTTCCAGGAAACAGCCTCGCTCCAGCAACCTTCACACATGGCGAGGGCACACAGACCTCAGCCCGCGTTACAAGTGTGTGTTTGCAGGCCCTTGGGAAACCGGAAAACACGTTTTTCAAGGGAACCCTGTTCTGATGGCAAGAGGAGGCCCGGGTGGGATCACCAAAACCTGTTCAAGGTTATATATATGACCTTGGCAGTCCCTGCCTGGTCCCGGCTTCTGAGCCTCTGGTCTCCTTGACCACGGCCACTTTGCCCTGTCCCAGCCTCCAAGACCAAGAACAGCTTTAGGCAGAAGAAAGCTTAATACTAACACTTATTAACAATTATCTTATAGGAATACTAAGTAATAGTAATAGGAAATAATACGTTTGTTGTAGAACATTCAGATAATACAGATGGGCGAAAAAGAACAAATAAAAGATCCTCCATGACCCCACAGCCCAGTGTGACCACTATCCACATTTTGACGGCCATTCTCCCAATCTAATGTTTAGAGTTATACATATTGCCATATATATAAGCCATATATTTAAAAAACACACATATTACCATATATAACCATTTATTTTCCATATCTATGACCACACATCTTATATCTTATCATATATAGAGACACTACTTATATTTGCATATACGTATGGATGCATGCATGCGCTTGGTCTGCCATAACAAAATACCAGAGGCTGGGTGGCTCACACAACAGACATTTATTTTCTCACAGTTCTGGAGGCTGGAAGTCCCAGATCAAGGTCCGGTGGGGCCCGTTTCCCGTGAGGGCTCTTGTCCTGGCTTGTAGATGGCTGCCTTCTCGCTGTCTGCTCACACGGCCTCTGCTTTGTGTGCACACGGAGAGAGAACGCCCAAGTTCTCTGGTGTCTCTTCTTAGAAAGACACTAATCCTGTGGGATCAGGGCCCTACCCTTGTGACCTCATTTAATGTTAATTACTTCCTTAGAGGCCCCGTCTCCAAACATGGGGTTAGGGCTTCCTCAACATGTGAATCCAAGGGGACACAAACATTCAGTCCATAACAGTATGTACGTGTGTGTACATGTGTGTATACATGTATGTAATCACATATATTGTCATTAACATTTTGGTGTACATTCTTCCAATATATGTATGATAATTTATAGGATTATTATACATGTGGTATCACTATATATGGTAATATATATGATTTTATATGTGTAATATTATATACACACATACGCACATACATATATATATATATATATCTCCATATATATATATATATTTTTTTTTTTGGTGAGGAAGATTGGCCCTGAGCTAACATGCATTGCCAATCTTCCTTTTTTTTTCCTTCCCCAAAGTCCCAGTACAGAGCTGTATATTCTAGTTGTAGGTCATTCTAGTTCTTCTATGTGGCATGACTAGATGAGTGGTGCTAGGTCCATGCCCAGGATCCAAACCAGCGAACTCAAGTCTGCTGAAGCGGAGCGTGTGAACTCAGCCACTCGGCCACAGGGCTGGCCCCTGCATATATATTTTTTAAGACTGGAAAAATGTACACCAAAATGTTAGTAGTTAAAAGTGTTAATGTATGCACATACATTAACATTTATGGATAACCCTGTACACACGCATACACCATTACACGCATATATATCCACCATTACACGGATTCTGGGGTATAAAGTTAGGGTCTCACCATTTCTTTACCTGCTCTTTTCACTTAACATATCATGAGCACTTTGCACATCCTTCGATGCTCTTCCAAGGCTGTGAAAGGCTGTGTAGTTTTCTATTTGTGGCTGTGTCATGAATCACCTCACCAACCCCCAGACATTTAGGTTGTTTTCCATTTTCCTCCCTATAAATGTGATGAGCATTCTCAAAGACGAATCTTTGCACGCATCTAAGAGGTGCCTTTGGGCCACCCTTCCAGAACGAATGGCTGGGTTTTCAAGGATGCAATATCCTCAGTTCTTTACAGGTAGAGAAGGAGATGCGCGGGAGAGGGGACGTTCTTGCTTTACTCCGTGGCCAACATCACCTCATCTATTACTCCGTGGCCAACATCACCTCATCTATATCTGTGAACTCCTTCCACGCCCGGCACCTCAGTCCTGCTCCCTGGCGCTTGTCTTTTTCCTTACGTCCACGGCAATGGTTTGGAAAGCTGCCCTCTCTCTCTCCCGTCTCTCCCTCTGACCTGGAGCTCTGGCAGCACACATGCCCAGGGGCTGCGGCACTGTGACTTGTAGACTTCACTCGAGTCAACTCCTGCTGGCCTGGATCTTGGAATTGCACCCACTCCCAGAAGCCCGCACGACTGCTTTGTCATCTGTGGGAAACTCCCGCCCCCGAGTTCTTCACCAGACATCAGATTTTGGGTAAATTGCCATACCCTTCAGTGACCTCCCCCTCAACACAGCCATTCCACACGCCAAAATCACCTGCCTGCTCTCCACGAATCCACTCTCCTCATTCAGCTGAAGAATCAAGAGGAAGGCAATGACCCGTAGTTGATTCTCACGTTGCAATCAGTGGCCTCCCTAATTCTGAGATAACTTGCAATTTACAAGAGATAAACAAGGACAAAGACCATGGAAAAAGCCAAGAAATGAGTCAGGGAGAAGAAATTTGGGCATGACAGTCATAGGCCTATTGGAGATTCTTGCCCCCCTCGGTTCGGCTCCCCAGCAACGTCTGCTTCTCTCTGCTTTCAAATATCACGACACAGACAGTGCAGAGTCTGGGGTGGAGTGGGGGACAAGGGCACTGGACAATTGTCTAGATGGGTTGTGGGGAGGAAGACAGGAGAGGTGGGGGAAAGAGAGACAACACGGAATGAGGGATATTCACAGTTGCCTCCTTGTGCCTGCCAAAGATGGCGGGTCCTGAAGCTGATCCTGCCGTCAGGCTGAGGTGCTGTGGGTGCAGGGGAGGGAAGGGAGTGAATGTTAGAAAGAGAAGGGAGAGGAGAGAGATCAGAGAGGCTCTCTCAGGACTGGGACCTGAGAAGCGGAAGAGACGTCTAAAGGGAATTTTGAGCAAATTTTCCATGTGACATGTTGGGGGGTGATGGCCTCAAGGCTCCTGGAATCAGATTTGGGGTCCTACAGCCCAGGATGCCAAGCCGAGATGGCTCGTGGGATTGGAGCACTGAGGCCTGGCTGGAGGAAGGAGGAAGGAACAAGATTAAAATATTACTGTTAATTGAGCGTTCCTGTGCTGGGCTCCCACCAGGCTGGAGAACCAGCTTTGACGCTGGGCACAGAGCAAGAGGAGGTGGGGGTGCCCTGGGGGTGGCAGATAGGGAACATTCTGCAGTCACATCGCCTGGGGTTGAGTCGTGGGTCTGCTCCTCACTAGCTGTGTGGCCTTGGAGAGTTAGTCAACCTTTCGGTGACTCAGTTTCCTCCTCCGTAAGATGGGGATAAGAAGAGAACCCGCCACCCAGGCCAGTTGCGAGGATTCAGCTAACCAAGGCTTGTCACGCTCCACGCACCGTTATGATTGCCTTTGTTATTACCAAGGGGCCAGCTCTGCCACGCCACAAGCTTTTAATCCTCGCCATAAGCCAGCAGGATCGAGATGTTCTCTTTTTACAAATAAGGAAACGAAGGCTCAGAGCTGGCAAAGGAAGGAGCTGAGCCCATCTCCGCCTCCAGAACGCACACTCTTTGCCCCATCACCGCTGCCCTTGTCCACGCAGGCGTTCTAAGTCCGGCGCCCCCATCCATTCATGTCTTAGAGTCAAGGGCAGTGTCTAAGTTTCCTGGAGCTGCCATAACAAATCACCATGAAGTGGTGGCTTCAAACAACAGGAATTTATTCCTTCGTGGTTCTGGAGGTCAGAAGTCCCAAATGAAGGTGTTGGCAGGGCCCCGCTCCCTCCAAGGCTCCAGGGAAGGGCCCCTCCTGCTTCTTCCAGATCCTGGGGGCTCCTTGCCAGGATCACTGCAACCTCTGCAGCGATTTTCACAAGGACTTCCTCCCCAAGGCTCTGTGTCCTTCTCTGTCCTTTTCTGTGTCATTGGATTTAGGGCCCACCCTACTCCATGATGATCTCATTTTGATCTTTATCTGAGTGACCTCTGCCAAGACCCTATTTCTAAATCAGGTCACATTCTGAGGTCCTGGGGGGGTATGAATTTGGCGAGGACACCATAACCCGCTTCCGTGATGGACAGCCACAGGCTAGCAACCTCCCTGACAGCGATGGCACTCCCCCCAAGAGCTTCTGTCACTGCACTTGGAGCAGAGCCCTGGCTGGAAGCAGCAAAGTCCCAGCAAGTGGCCTGGGGGTGGGGCCTGGTGAAAACCAGCTGGGGGCCAGAGTTAGAGATCTCCGGTCTGAGGCCCATCACCAGCGGCATGACCTTGAATGAGCCTCTTTACCTCTTACATCACTTCCTTCCTTTGCAAAATGGGGTTCAATAGCTGTCATGGGTCATGCTGTGCTGGAGGCTTTCTATGTATTATCTCATTTAATCCCTATTTTCCAGATGAGGAATCTGAGGCTTAGCGACGGAAAGTGACTCGCCCGACACCACACAACCAGAATGTTGCAGAGACAGAAATTCAACCAGTGCTCTCTCTCTCTCTCTCTCATCCTTAGCCAAATGCCTTACCTGCCTGACACAGCCTCCGGGCCAGGGTTAAAGGCATTTGTGGATGCGAAAGCACATAGTGAACCACCTCGCAGATAAAAGTATCCTCATTTCTCACTTCTTGGTTCAGATGGGCAACCTGATTTCCACGGGCCAGACGCTGAAAATGGCAACACACCCTGGGGCGAAGCGTAGGACGAACGAAGGGGATTAATCACACCCCATGGATTGGCATTTTACCTCCAGCCCTGGGGGAGGATGGGGGCGGTGGCACTGCCAGGCGCCAGGTGCCGAGATGAACATTTAGCTTTGATTTGGGGCCGAGAACAGG